CTATTCTATTCTATTCTATTCTATTCTATTCTATTCTATTCTATTCTTCCAGTAAAACGTTTTTAGCTGAGACATCACAGAGGCAACCCTCCATTAGAACCATTTATTTATTTATTGAATTTATATTGCCACTATTCACCCATGGTGACTCAAGGCGGCTTACAGAATGTAAAACCATATTTAAAACAAACAAGCAGAAACTAACAAAAAGAATCCATTAAATTAATAAAGTACAATAGAACAAAATCTGACGAAAGATTTAGTGACTGTGTTACGACGGCACGGAAAAAAATTACTTGCATTCAGTTCTCATACTTACAACTGATCCATGATCATGTGATTAAAATTTGGGCACTTGGCAATTGGCATATACAAGTAGTCCTCAACTTACAACGGCTCAAAGTTAAAACGGCATTGAAAAAAAGTGACTTATGACCATTTTTCACACTTATGACCATTGCAGCATCCCCATGGTCACGTGATTTACATTCAGACACTTGGCAAGTGGCTCATGTTTATGACGGTTGCAGTGTCCTGGGGTCATGTGATCCCCTTTTGCAACCTTCTGACAAGCAAAGTCAATGGGGAAAACCAGATTCACTTAATGTTACTAATTAAACCACTGCAGTGATTTACTTAACAAAGGTGGCGAGAAAAGTTGTAAAATGGGGCAAAACTCCTTTAACAAATTTCTCACTTAGCAACATAAATTTTGGGTTCAATTGGAATCATAGGTTGAGGACTGCCTATGTTTATGAGAGTTCCCATATCCTGGGGTCATGTGATTGCCATTTGCAAGTCTCCATCCAGCTTCTAACAAAGTGAAATTAATGGGGAAGCTGGACTCATTTAATGACTGTATGATTTAATTAACAACTGCAGTGATTCACTTAACAATGTTAATTTTCATGGTCATGATGTGCACTGAAGATAGTGTTTGATTTCGTTGTATGAGGTGCAATGACAATAAAGTAAAGTAAACGAAACTAAATCATGGCAAAAAAGGTCATAAAATTTTATACAAACTGCTTAATAACTGCCTTGAATAACTGTTGAATAACTGCAACAGAAATTTGAATTCTAACTGTGGCCCTAAGGATCTGTACTGCTGTAATACTTGATATCATACTAATGCAAACATTAAGTGGCTCAGTGACTAAGATGCTGAGCTTGTCGATCAGAAAGGTCAGCCGTTTGCCAGTTCGAATCCCTAGCGCTGCGTAACGGAGTGAGCTCCCGTTACTTGTCCTAGCTTCTGCCAACCTAGCAGTTTGAAAGCATGTAAAATGCAAGTAGAAAAATAGGGACCACTTTGATGGGAAGGTAACAGTGTTCTGTGCGCCTTCAGCGTTTAGTCATGCCAGCCCCATGACCACGGAGACGTCTTCGGACAGCGCTGGCTCTTCGGCTTTGAAACGGAGATGAGCAGTGCCTCCTAGAGCTGAAAACAACTAGCACGTATGTGCGAGGGGAACCTTTACCTTTAATACAAACATTGCTGGGAATGGTAAAATCCATGTTGGTTTTCTCCCTTTCTCTCTATTTTCCAAAAAAACTCTTGTGAACAACTCTTGTTCAAAATTGCAATGTTCTATAGTGTCATTCTTTAGTCGTTAGTTCATGGTTGGTTAAAAAAAATACAACCTAACTCTGCAGAAGGGCCTGATCAGCTGTCTGACTTCTTAAGTTATAATGCTGTCTCTAAGGCTCTTAAACCACATTCATGAATAATGTGGAGCAACAATTCTATTCAGAAAATAAAGCCAGGCCTTAAGATCAATTGATTTTCTTGTTATTAGGCATGCATGAATTGTCTAATAATAATAATATGATATAAAAAATGTACTTAAAGATGTACTTTCCCTAATCCATGGCTTATCCCCAATCCTCCTTTAATGCTTTTTTAAGGTGTTGGACAATTTTATAATTTATTTGGTCTCTGAGCTGATTTAGTTAAAGTCTTTCAATTCACAGGGTCCTCCTGGAATTGACCAGAGTATGTGTCTCTCTCTCTCTGTCAAGAAAATATTATGCTTAGGCACCTGAGGAGCAAGAAAAGCTGTGTTGTATTTTCATTTTTTTTTACCTAAAGGGGTAAAAGCAAAAGTTTATAGAACCTCCACGTTCTGGTGCAGCCTATCCTTTATGGACAGCAAAACCAAGACTAAGTAATAAAAGGCTCAATCGTGAATTGGGAGGGTCAGGAAAGATCACACTTGTTCACACTCATGTGCATGATGCAAATCCACCCCCTTTGCACACCATACTTCACTGTGGCAGTTTGCAAAATCTGGAAAAAAAATAGGACAACCTTTAGTCACCAAATACAAGTAGTCCTCAACTTACGACCACAATTGAACTAAACTGGTTGTTACATAGGTTGAATTGCACCCCTACATACAACATTGAGAGTGACTATGGCCAATGTATTGCTTCCTTTCTTCCCTTCCCTTCCCTTCCCTCCCTTCCTTCCCCTTCCTCCCTCCCTCCCTCCCTCCCTTCTCTTCCCTTCCTTCCTTGTTCTTCAATTGTTTATGATGGTTCAAGTCCAGTATAGTGAAAGGTCATTCACCCAGGAGAGTTCAGCGCAGGGGGAGATGAGGAATTCAATTCAATTCAGTTCAGTTCAATTGCTGGTGAAGATTTGGGGGCTGAAACCAATCTCCTGCATAGGAACTTTAGTTGGCATTCGAACAGGAGAAAGAATATGAATGGTTGAAAGTATTTTGAAAGCACCTTAAAGTGAAGAGTCCAAGCAGCCTACTTTCCTTCACAGGGATCTTATCTATGGAGTGTCCCATCACCCCTGGTCCCCAATTGTCAGGAGCTCTTGAGCTTTGGATTCTTAGGGGTTTCCTTCAGCCTCTGGATGAAGTTTTATCCTTGATTGGATCACTGGATCCAGCAGGAAGGAATTGAAAGGACTCTTCTCCCTAAGCAATTTGCTTGAGGAAGATCCAGCCCTCAACTTCCTGAAAGAAATTGCTGATGTTTCCCTTCTATCAGATGCAATCACTTTTCTCTATAAATGACACCTTTAAGGTCAATAGAATACAATTTTTTTCCTCCCAGCTGAAAAATGAAATCATCATTACTTACCGATCTTAAGTGATTTTTATCTGGCTCAACTGGAAATAATCAAACGACACAAGGCAGCATACAAATTGCTTCTGCTTGAGATGACATGCCAAGAAAGAGCCTTCATTTTAAAAATCTCTGCAGTCTCCTTTCCACCGAGTTACCTTGTGATCTCCATCTGCCTGATAAATTTCGCTAGGACAGCTTTGAAGTAAGTCCTCCGTACTCTTTTCACTGCATCCTTTTTGAAAATGTGTGGATTCGGTTGATTTTGGTACTAATTTATACAAGTTTCACTGTTCCAAAGATGGAAAAATTGGCAGGGCTGGGCCTTCTCTGGCTCTTTAGAAGTTGCTGGATTATATCTCTCATCCTTCTTGATCCATGATAGTGCTGAATAAGCTGGGGAAAGCTACATTTAAACAACCTCTGAAGGGCACAACTCATTAAGCCTTAATCCAGTGTTTCTCAAACTTAGCAACTTTAAGTGGCGTGGATTTCAGCTTCCCGAATTCCCCAGCCAGTATGGCTAACTAGGAAATTATGGGAGTTGAAGTCCATCCCTCTTAAAGTTCCCAAGGTTGAAAAATATTACTCTAACCAGAGCAGTAACTGTATTATATAAAATATAGCTTGACTTTACAGCATTTTTGACAATTGCCTTATGTTGTTCTTGAAATATCAGGCTACTCCTTGGAAATATTTTTTGGTCAAGTTTGCTTTCTTGACCAATGGTTGAAATTGATGAAATGCACACTGGGGGAACAACATGGGGTTGTAATTTTATTCTTGGACGGCACATCAGCTACCATTTTCCAATGTTTCACGTTCATGTTGGATGAAGAGATAAATCAAAGGAGGTTGACTCAGCCTTCCATCCTTCTGAGTTTAGCTTAGTTTAGTTTAGTTTATTGTCATTGCACCTCGTACAATTAAATACCATCTTCAAGGTACATTACAAGTATAAAAATAAACACAAACACACATCCTTCACATTATATACACTGAATTGAAACCCCCTGATAATATTGCATTATACCAGTGGTGGCTAACCTTTTGGGGCTCAGGCCCCCCATGCCCACCTGTGCATGCACGCATGATCCCCCCACCCCCTTACCTGCACTGCGCATGAGTGCGCCTCCCAGCTGATTTTCGGCCCATTTGAGGCCTTTTTCAGCCACCCAGAGGCTCAAGGAAAGCCTCTGTAGCCTTTGGAGGCCGAAAAATGGGCCTGTTTTGTCACTTCCAGTATTTCTGGAAATACAGGAAGTGATGAAATGGGCCTGTTTTTCAGCCTCCAAATGCTGAAGAGGCTTCCCACAAGCCTCTGGGAGGCTGAAAAAGGTCTCAAATAGGCCAAAAATCATCTGGGAGGCACGCATATGTGTAGTGAGGTAAGTTTGGCTGGGGCTTGCATGCCCACACAAATGGCTCTGTATGCCACCTGTGGCACGCTTGCCATAGGTTCACCATCATGGCACTATACAGTAGAATTCAATAGAGTTACTGCCCTGGGATAGAAGCTGTTTTTCAGCCTATTTTCCTTGTTTTTATTATCCTGCACTGTCTGCCAGATAATAAAAGTTAAAAAAAAAAGGGTGCCCAGGATGAGATGGATCTTTGAGAATGTTTTGAACTTTCTTAAGGCAGCGGGAGTTATAAAGCTCTTCCAAAGAGGTGGGTAAAATGAGGACCCAGATTGTTGGGGGCAATATGCTGACTCCGTAAACCAGTTAGAGAGGGCTGTAAAGCACTGTAAAGTGGTATATAAGTCTAAGTGCTATGGCTATTGCTATACATCTAAGAGCAAACTGTCCTACTTTCTTTAGGGCATTTAATATATACAGTAGATAGTAGAATTGCCAAGTTTATAATCAAGTCTGCTTAATTAAGAACTATACTGTTCAGATCCAGATAACTTGTACTTTGGGGTCCTTAATGTGCTCTGAGATGGTTTTTTCCTTGTAGCTATTTCATTACCAAACCAGGTAACATCATCAGCACATTGAACCAAACTCAGAGAGCACCAAGGACCCCACAGTTCAACCCAGAGCTGCAACTATTCCCTTCTATTGGTGACACATTTACCTGAATATACATCCTGCACATATATACCAGAGGTGGTATTCAGCAGGTTCTGATCAGTTCTGGAGAACCGGTAGCAGAAATTTTAAGTAGTTTGGAGAACCAGCAAATCCCACCTCTGACTGGCTCCGCCCCCATCTATTCTCTGCCTCCTGAGTCCCAACTGATTGGCTGGGTCTTCTTTTGTTGCTCTGCACAGGAGAACAGAGCTGGAAAGCAGGTTAGTGGGGTGGGGATGGAATGGGATTTTGCAGTATCCTTCCCCTGCCATGCCCACCAAGCCATGCCCACCAAACCACACCCACAGAATTGGTAGTAAAAATGTTTGAATCCCACCACTGATATGTATCCTTTTAATTTTTCAATTGAACTTGCGGTCTTGTGTTTTCTATATGATTGAGTAACTAATCAATAATTTTAAAGTAAATTAAAACTAAACTATAGGATGTCTCAATAATCTTCTTTTTCCTGTTTTTGTTTTCATTGTATGGGGTTTTTTTCCCTCTAACTTTTCTTTTGTAGTTTCCAAAGTTGTGGATTTTCCAAACCGCATTTATTCCCCCCGCCGGCCCCGACCATTCTTTTTGTAGGAATAGAACTATTTTGGCTGCAAAAACTGGACACTGGAAATGTAAGGACCAATTGTTGCAGCACTAGCTGATTGAAAAGACGGGTTAGGCAATGATCTGGACATCTGGGGAAAATCAATAAATGGTTGCTGAGCTCCATCTTGTTACTTTGAAATAAAAGGTTATTTTTTTGGTCCAGTTAAAAGGGAAAAAAGGAAGGGGACTTGAAGAAAAGAGGCTGAATCCAATTAGAGACAAGGATCTCAATGGCCCTGTAACAGAGTACAAGCATATGCAGAAGAAAAGATTTTTAAAAAATGTTGCAAAAGTAATAAAAGATAATGATGATGCACCAAAAATTGCTTAAATTCATATAAAGTAATGGGTCTGCTTCGCAGAGTAATTTTCACACCACTTTGTATAGATCATCTTATTTGGAAAAAGTTACAATAAACCTTGGCTCGGATGGGCAAATCAGAGTGAAAATGCATTCTTACCCAAAATTGAAAAGACGTCTGGGGAAATCATGTCCTTCCCTGAGCGATATTGTTCAGCCAGCACATCAGGTTTGTTCTTAAGAAAATATAGAAGTGTTAGAGAGAGCTTTCAAGATGAGGGTTTCTTAAGTACAGGAGCCACTGAGTCAGCATAAAAGCCATGCAAGAATCCCAAAGGTGCTTTTTTCAGGAGGCAACTGGACTTTCTTGTTTTTTTTCTTTTGAAGACGTTTCGCTTCTCCTCCAAGAAG